ATTTTAAAAATATTTTAATTTTATACTTCTTTTTTTCTTCTATTTTTTTTATTTTATTGCTTCAATTAATTTATTGATTTTTATTTTATATATTTATAATATATTCTTTTGGAGGCGTTATGCCTCATAGCGACATTGTGTCGTTATAGGCCATAGCAACCTCCTTTTTTTATGCTATTTCTATTTATATCAATAAATTGTATCACTAAAATTTTTTTTTTTTTAAATTTATTATTATACACTATACAAAATTTTTAAATAAATTATATTTGTTAAAAAATATTATATACTCAAATTTTAAGTAAATTATTTTATAAAAAAATAATTAATGGGTAGCGCTGTAGGCTATAGCGACTTCATTAAATTCATTTAGGACCATTAGGGGCTGTAGCGACTGTGTATGAGGCGCTATCGGCTGTAGCGACTTTTATAATATGACGTTTATGGCTTCTTAAAATTATAAAAATTACACGTGGCACGGGTGTCGTTATGGCCCATAGCAACACCATAGTAAAATGTCTCAAAGGTGTAAATAATTTCAAAACAGCTCCATTTACATAATTAGTTTTAAAAACTACCCCAAGTTGATCAATCAGCCCCAAAAATGTATTTGAAATACGTTCCGAATCTTTAAAAAATTAATTTAAATTATAAAATATTAAATTAAATAATTATTTAATAATAAAATTATTTTAAAGTATTAATATTTTGTTTCGGATCCTTTTCTGAGGATAAAGAACTCCTCATTTTAAAAATGAGCTTGTGTGGAAGCCCCACCGTCACACAACAATATTGGAAAAAGTTATAATATTATGGTGAGTGGAGTTAGGTCTATCTTAATTAACTTATAAAATGTGAATTGTTACTCATTTATATCTCTTATTAATTAGTTAATGTGGAATTTTTGTAGACATCTGTCAGAGATGTACATGTGTTTAAAGTTCATAAAATCAAGTATCTTTAGATGGTTTAATAGTACAATAATAAACAACTTGATAAATTAATAACCGTGTTTAAAATAGATTATGATATTATATATATATATATATATATACATATATATATATATATATTTAAAAAGTAATTTGATTCAACCTTACAAGATTATACATGAAGTAAGGATTATTTTCACTTATATATTATATTTTAATCATACTATTTAAATGTACAATAAATAAAATTTCTCAGAATCAACCTAAGCATCAAATTTATAAGACCCTTACTTTGGACTATTTTAAAAGATATTATTTTGTATTAATCTATAATTTATAACATATATAAAAATGATAATTTAATTTGGTGTATATATTTTTAAGTAATTTTATTCTTAAATCTTTAAATAATAAAAAAAATAATATTAAAAATTAACAATCTTTAAAAACACAATTCGAATCTAAAATCTTTAAGGTTTGTGAAGCAAATACAATATCTATTGATTTAACAAAGATTAATAATTTTAAAACATTTTTATTAAATAAAAAATAATATGTAGAGACATAAAATATCTTGACTCTATTAATATTTACATATTTTTTTTAAATTTAATTATTCAAAATTTACATTTTGAATTCTTAAAGATTTCATATTTAAAAGATATGTAAATATAATTATTTTTGTTAAAATTATTTTTTTAATTATTTATTTTTTCAAACATACTATTATTAATTTTCCTTTAATATATTTGTTTTGATCATAATAATATATTGGACGGCTCTCAGAATTCTCACTTTATAAATTGGGTTTTCTAGTGGTGGGTTATAATCATTTCTCTTCCCAATCCAAAGGGAATGAGAGAAGTGGTTGTTCACAACAATCCAAGAAACATAGATATCTAACGGTTTAGGTAAACCATTCAAAGTTGTTGATCACTCTCACACAACTCCTTAAAGAGAAGTCTGCAACAAATCAACATGTACCTCAATTGATTGATTACCGGTCAGTTTTATTATAATTACTAACTGATTAGTTAATTGGCCGATGCAGTATCATGTTTTAGGAAGGAAACAGAGAGCGCGAATCTATCTTAGGGTAAAACTGGATTTTGGTGTTGAATTTTTAAATATAAATATTGTTTTTCAATTATAATTGATAGAATTGTTATACGTCGATTATTTTAATCTTTACTGATAAAAAGTGTTTTAATACTTCTTTGTGATTATTTTAGAAAAGGAACTCTCTTGCTGCATTCTATTTTGTATTTCTAAAATTCAGGGTTTTCACTATTATTTTGACCTCATCATATCTTCACACCCTTCATTCTCATTCATGAATCTTACCTTTTCTTACATTTTGTTTAGGCATTATCAGACTCTCATTGTTGGTGGGTATGTTTGTGATTTATTGGTCCAGTTTATGTTTGTGCACACAAACACGCTCACACATATATACATATACTAGGAGAGTCAGAGCAGAGTATTAACATCTTGCAAATTTCTATTAACATATATAGGCCTTATTGTAAAACAAGTTTGTTACTAAAATCGAATAACAATTGATATTAGAAGAAGATTTCCAGTCAGACGTAGGAGTTGTTTTGTTTTTTCTATAGGACAAAACACTTGAAAAGAAATTAGGAAAACATGAAACCCTTTACAGAAAATCTAAATATAAGGAAAAAGCCAATTTTATTTCTTTCTTTTTTGACAAGAATTTTACTTCTTATTTTCGATATATAAAATCATAAACAGACATTTGATAATAAAATGCGTTTTGAACATTCACACACTTTAGCAAATAATTGAACCCCGATGTAGCTTATCAAATGTGTGCATGCCATTGGCAGTACACTTTGACATAATCTTGCATGTTATCCATCATCTAAACCGTCCAGGTAGAAACAGAAAAGAGTGGTTTATCATTCCAGCAGACAAACAAACAATTATTCTCCTGGAAAACCTTATATCCCTTTCCATAACCATGCAACTGTTTTGTTGCTTGCATCTTCCCATGATGACTGATATGTCCCTTGCAAAACCCAGCCAATTCTATCCTTGGGATCCAAGTCTCAAGTTTTTCATGCCTCTCCTTTCTCTCATCTCCATCACATGCAACGATGTTCTTTATTTCTTCCCCTAATAGAGTCCTCTCCATTATGATTCTCTCTATCGGTGTTGTTGAAACAGTTGATTCCAAGCAATTGAACAATGCACCATAAAAATCCAATGCTTTGTCTACCCTTTCTGTTAGAGAAGAACCATTAACATTAGATTCTTGTTCAGTAATCACCATCACTCTAGGTTGGAGTTTCCACAGGTCATTTAGAAAGTGCAATATCTTGGTTGAAGAAGCATATAGAGGAAGTTGTAACAATGATGAATTAGAACTGGGGTTGGTCTTTTGTTTCCCAAGAATCTCAGCAAATGTCCTTTGATGCATTGATTCAGCTGGCGAGCTGGTGCTGCCAACCGTTGTAACATCAGCAGCAAGAAGAGTGTGCAGCTGAAGCACTGAACTGATTGCAAGAGGCTCTCCTTTCATTATAGGCAATTCTCGAAGGTCAAGATTTTCCAAAGTGCTTACAATAGCATTGAATTGGATATGGAATTTCAAGTTTTCAGCTTCTACTCGCAACTGAGTGTCCACTTGGTCTAAGATTTCCTTCTTCTCATGTATGCCTGTGATTTTCAGAGACGGGGTTTTTTTTTGGCTTTCTTTTAATCTCTGCATAAGGTAAGTCCACTGATGACCATCAGATGCACTGAGATCAATGATATGGATCAGTTTTTCCCCTTCCATAGCTTCAGCAATGGCATGACTTGTGATCTCATATGAAACCTTTAAAAATGGATACAGATTAAAGAATGACCTTTTAACAAATTGTTCTTCTGAAGTTGACATTGTTT